CGTCCCGGTGCAGCGTGTCCTTGTTCCCCGTTGCAATACTCGCCTCGCCAAGCCCTGCTGTTTGGGGTTTTTAAAATAAACTGGCATTTCTCGCCCAGATACGGACAGTTTTGGCGCGGGACCTCCGGTCTCCGGCCCCAGGACCTTGTCAGAGCGACAGCTTGGCTCGCCTCCCCAACGGCGGCTCTGGTTTTGGCCCCGTTTCCTGGTCCCTGTTTGCCCCTCATGGTGAACCGCGGGCGGGAGCGGGACCGAGGACACCGGCGGGAGCTGGGGGTCTGGCGGGGCCCGGGGCTGGTGGGCGCCTCCATGATTAATACGGGAAAGCGGTTTAAGTTGGGCCGACGGCGCTTGCCATCCTGTTGCGTCCCGTGAATTCCCTCGTTGTAGGAAGATGGTGAGGCGGGAGGGCGGCAGGGCTACAGTCTTCATTTCTCCCGCGTCCTCATTCATCGGAATTTCCACGCAGGATGCATAGCCACATCCACGGCGTCCCAGCTGTCGCCGGCCGCGCTGATAGAGATGCAGAACGACGTCTTCAACAGGGAGAAAGGCCGGCAGTCATCGCTGACGCCCCGGGTCGAGAAGATCGAGGTTAAACTCGTGGGGAGAACGGACCCTGGCACCACGTTCGTGATGAATAAAAACGTGTCCACGCCCTACAGTTGCGCGATGCGTAAGTGCCGAGTCGGGGCGCCGCCGTCACGGTGTTGACCGAAGCGGTGCGGGCGGAGAGGATGCTGACGGCTCTGCAGGCCCCGGGAAGGTCTCTGTCGGGCACCTGGCGGTCCGCCCACTGTGGCTCCAGCTCTTGGGGGTCCTGTGGGTCCCCACAGGTCGGTCCTGTCATGCACAGGTTGTGCTAAGATTTGTTTGAATCTGGCTGAGTCTAGGGCGGCTATACTTGTTTCTGGTAGAAGAGGGCGGACCTGAAAACATTGTCGCTATTAGCTTGTCCCTTTTATTTTTATTTATTTGTGTATTTAAATTTTATTGATTTTCGAGAGGAAGGGAGAGGGTGGGGCTGGGGGGAAACAGAGAGATAGAAACATCTATGATGGGAGAGATGCATTCATTGATCGGCTGCCTCCTGCACGCCCCACACGGGATCAAGCCCAACACCAGGGCATGTGCCCTGACGGGGAATCGAACTGTGACCTCCTGGTTCATAGGTTGATGCTCAACCATCGAGCCACACTGGTCGGGCTAGCTTGTCCCTTTTGGGCGGCGCTCAGTCAACGCGAGGGTCTCAGGAAAGCATTGGGGGTGGAGGGACTGCCCTGGCTGCAGTGACCAGCTATTTTGGCTTCTTTGCCTTCCTAGTCCTCAGAGGCTAACTTCAGTGACCTCCTTACCACTTGCCGCTTGGTGTGCGGTGTTCTTGTTTACCTTTGCATGTATGTGGTAAATGTGAGCGTGGAAATGCCCTTGGGGTGGATGCGATTGGGGTAAACATGTTTGTTGTGTTCACATCTGAAGGGGGAAGCTGCACCGTGTGAGATTTGGTGTGGCAGCGAAGGGAACCGGACCGCTATGTTTATTTTTGATCAGAATGCTTGTACAGTAGCTTTGGTAGAACTGGTGGTATTTAAATTTAGAAAGCCCCCACCCCAAATAAATATACACCCATGTGCTCACTCATGTATGTGACTAGCTGCGTTGTTCAAACTTTTGGAAAAATTCGATGATGACTCCATTTAAGTGACTTCAGTTATCTGCTTAGGTTGGCCCGTAAAGTGTACACTCTCAGTGTTTGTTTACTCTGGCATTTGAATTAGTATTTATGATAATTGTTTACTTACTTGTTTTTTGAGCATTTATTGACCCTCTTCTATGTGATAGGTGTTAGGATTACAGAGGAGGATATGAGAAGCTCAGGCTCTTAAGGAGCTTTATTCACATGAAGTAGAGATGAATGAAGCTTCTGAACACCACTCAGCATGACCCCTGCCCTGAGGCTTGCTTGTCATTCATACCTTCTGTCCGTTAGTGAAGTTATGCTGAGTACCTTGTACATTTCAGGCCTGGTGCTAGGCTCTGGACATACTGACGGGTGAGCAAGAGTAGACACGGTCCCTGCCTTTATGGCATTGATGTAGTGCAGGGGTCCTCAAACTTTTTAAACAGGGGGCCAGTTCACTGTCCCTCAGACCATTGGAGGGCCGGACTATAGTTTAAAAAAAACTATGAACAAATTCCTATGCACACTGCACATATCTTATTTTGTGAGGCAAACGTGATAACCACTACACTACGGAAACACATATCTTATTTTGAAGTAAAGAAACAAAATGGGAACAAATACAATATTTGTATTTGCATGTGGCCCTCGGGCCATAGTTTGAGGACCCCTGATGTAGTGGATGATAATTTAGACCCTGTAGGGTGACCACTTTTTGAGTAGCTGTACTCGAAAACCATCTAATTAGGGAAGTAAGAGAGAGTTTGGGAGCAAGACCCCAAACACACCTAGAACCGATTTACTGTGAACGTAATAGTTATACATCTTTCCTTCTAAGTTGTGTGTGCATATACCCGAATGTATCCATGCTGCTGCTCTCTGAATATTTCAGTGTAGCTCTTGGAAAATCGTTTTATTAATTAATGATTGACAAGTTAATTTCAAACTTGACTCAGCCTTAATGAGTTTTGTAAATGGTTTGGATACTTTTGTTAATAATCAACAATATATTGGGTGGGTTGGATAGTATTTTTTATTGGTTACAGATGTAATATATAATACTTTTATGTCCAAAAAAAAGACAGCTTGCAGAATCTTGCCTTTTATTGTTTTATTTTGTAATGTAGCACTTACACATGTAGTTTCTCACTTTGAATTTTGTTAGATCTTAACCTTCAATCTATTTTAAATTTCTAGATTTAAGTGAGTGGTACTGCAAGAAGTCCATTCTGGCTCTTGTGGATGGACAGCCGTGGGACATGTATAAGCCTTTGACCAAGTCCTGTGAAATTCAGTTTCTTACTTTCAAAGATCGTGATCCAGGAGAAGTTAATAAGGTATTTCTGTTTCCATATTCTCTTTCCCCCTCCCTCACACCCAATGTTTTTCTTCTCCTTTTTAGGAAAATCTATTTTCTGTGGAATATGGAATGTGCAAATATAGCCAAGGTCAAATGTAATGTACTAGATTGTGTTTTACTTGTTAGGTTAGGCATTTTCATAGTTTAGATAATACCAGCAGCATCCATTTCTCTGTATTTTGATTTGAGGAAATGATATGGCATGCCTTTTACATTTATGTCTTTGTTCAGTTGACACTTATTGATCACCCTCTATATAGTGAGTATTTTATTCCCATGCTACTGCTGGAATGCAGCCTTTGACCATCTTCTCTGGATTATTTCAAGAACTTTTTAACTCTTTGCCTTCGACCCCCCCCCCTTTTTTTTTTAAATACTAAAGCCTTCTTTATAGTCCTATAAGAGTTTTATTAAGTGACATGACTAACGTTCATGTCACTTACCCCTAAAGAACTTGCCTACATAACTGTTCACATGACTTTCCAGGAACTGACTTGTGTGATCTGACCTCAGCCTACCTTCGAGCCTCACCTCCCACTGCGTCTTTCCACTTCCTCTTTGCTCCGGCTACACTAGAGGACTTGGTCATAATTTATCCTGTGCTATCCGGCTTGCCTTTGTTGATGCTCTTCCTTCAACTCTGAGTATTATCTTTCCTCCTGATTAAAATCCTGTTTATCTTTTAAAATGCCACTTGCTTTGTAGAACCTCCTTAGCTGCTTCTTGTTGGAATTAATCTCTTTCCTCTAGAACCTCACAACACTTGGCTAATGTCTCTAGATATAATATTTTAATTTAAATTCTAGGTACAATATTAAATTTAATTTGGCTCTGTGAAGACAGGGATCATGTCCCTATGGGACTCTGTCCTTAACTGGCATATAGTAGGTATTTAATAATATTTATCGAAATGAAATACATAAATGAGAAAATGACAGACAGTAGTAATTGCCAACATTGACTATGTATTATGTATCAGGTACTGTCTTAGATGATTTGTAGGTATTAACTCATTTAATCCTCATAAAAATCCTCTAAAATAGGTGCTATTATTCCTATTTTCCAGATAAATAAACCGAGACAAAGAGCGGTTCACTCGCTTGACCAAGGTTACCCGTTTAGGAAGTGGTGGAGCCTGGATTTGAACCCAGGCATTCTATCTCTGGAGTTCACCAGACATTACAAACATTTATGTCGCATAGATGAGGAAGTACATTTTCCTACTTGCCTTCAAGGCCCGTGTTTATACTTACTTTTAGTGTGTGTAATGTGGTTGTGTGGAATACGTTCTGGAGCAGTCTGCCACATAGCCAGGTGAGCCCACTCTTGTCCTCGGATGTGGAAAAGGGCTGATAAAAGTCCAGTGCTCAGCTATAGTAGTGCTTGTATGGGGCATAAGGTGGGCAGATGTGTGGAACTCATGCCTCTCTTTACTACTCTGACAAGTTCCTTGCATGGTACTGTATGAGGATGTCTGTGGATCAGAGAGTGCTGGGAAAATGAGGTTGCTTTGCTATCAATATGTTTAATGTGAGTGATGTACATGATGTTAGGTGTAGGATAGGAATCATAAATAATACTAGAAAGTTGAGTTTTCCCTCCATATTTATATATGTTATAGACAGGTATATATTAATATATTTATTTTACTTTAGCATGTGTTTATTAACAGATTAACTTTATCCTGAGTGAAAAGTAAAGTTACTACCAGATAATAACACTATTGGTTGATAAACATAGTGTCTGATATCTTGCACAGAAACATTGCTAACAACACGAAGTTGGTGTTTCATCCTTTGGTGGTTTTAGTTTGGTACAGATAATGTTATGGACTGATGGTCATTATTGCTATGTGCTGAGGATGGACAGATATTTGAGAAATGTTTCCTAAGTCAAAAGTCAACCTAAATGTTAATGTTGAATAGATCTCAGTGAATCTTTGTACATTTATTTTTCTAGGCTTATTGGCGGTCTTGTGCCATGATGATGGGCTGTGTGATAGAGAGGGCATTCAAAGACGAATACTTGGTCAGTTTGGTCAGAGCTCCAGAAGTGCCTGGTAATGTACACATATAAATATAAATATACTTTTTGTAATCTTTGAATATTTTGGTACCTATCTTTGCTGTTGTACAGAGTTCATTTATAATTTTTATCTAGTATAAATTACCATCATACCTACATTCCATTTATTGTGGGCAACAGAATTCATCCTATTTAATTATGGAAGTCAATAATTAATGTAATAGAATTAGAGGAGAATGTTTCTCTTGAATGTGAATTTCATGTAATTTAATTGTCTCTGTGTTTATTTCTTACCACTTGAAGCATTTATTTTCAAGTTGAACATGTGGAGGATGAGGAAATGGGAGTATAAATAGACTTCTAGAGAAAGCTACAGTACAACTTTGGTTGTACTGTGTCACTAGAAATGGCCACGACTTTGGAACTTTGGAAAGGGCCATCATTTTGGGGAGATGAAAGAGTTTATATTTTTTGTAATTTTGCTAAAACTAGGATTTTGCAATAGTATGTGTACTAGGATCACATTTTTAAAACATGTAGAAGTGTGTACAACCCAAAATATTTGAAAATCTCAATAATGATTTTAAGTACAAAACTAGTTAATTTTCTGGATGGGGGAAAGTTGGTAGAACTCTGGCAAGCACCTGGGATATTGGTAACATTTTTATAATTTGTAGAGTTGGGAGAGATTGCTAACCCTTCATTTTATGGTTAAAATATTCAGTTGTTGCAAATTGGTAACTTTCTACCCTAACAGATCTGACTTTGCTTTTTATTTTGGTTGGATTTACAGTGATTGCTGGAGCCTTCTGCTATGATGTAGTTTTGGATAAGAGGCTTGATGAGTGGATGCCAACAAAAGTAAGTATACCCTTTGGAGTATTAATTTTAGAGTCTGTGCTTTTCTTTGGTAGAATGATTCCTATGTTTTGTTGAATGGTACTGCAAATTGAGGGTATTTAAAGGAATGGATCGATCAATCTATCTATCTGTCTGTCTGTCTGTCTATCTATCTATCTATCATCTATCTATCTATTATCTATCTATTATCTACCTATCTAATGTTATCGCTATTTCAGTGAATTTAAGATAGAGACATATGAACAAAGGCACTCACAGCAGCATGGTCAGTTGTATGGAAGCTTTATGTTCTGCTTGACCTTTGCTTCTAATGCTGTCTTCCTTGTACTGTTTCTACTGCTCCTTAAAATAGTGGTTTTCAAGATGACCAGAATATAAAATATAGAAGATCAACTCTCTTGGGTGATGTGTGGTGGGGGGCCTAGAGCCTTAAACTTGGATGCCCACAGTACAGTTTGGTATATTTTGCACAGGGCTAACGATGGCATTATGTTTCCTAGTGAAACTTTCTGAATCACATAAACAATTTTTCCATATGCATTTAAAAAGCTTAATTTTACTCATCGTGTAAACAGATTTTTGTATCTTACTATTTACTAGCATTCCTACTTGTTATATCATTTTAATATTTATGAGGTTATTTCATTTGAATGAAATTGTTAACATTTCTTATAGGATTATCTTTAATAATTATTATACAGGCTGATATCTTAATTACAAATAAATTGCAAGTTTTATAGTTTGTAGAGTTGGGAGAAATTGCTAGCCCTATATTTCATGATCCAAATACTTAATTATTGTAAATTAATAACTTTCTTTCCTGATAAATTTGATTTGCTTTTGTTTTAGTTGTATTTACAATATTAAACATATAATTTAGTTAATTTGCTTTATGTTGAAACTAGAGGCCTGATGCACAAAGATTCGTGCAAGAATAGGCCTTCCTTCCCCTGCCTGCCGGTACCGGCTTCCCTCCGGCACCTGGGACCCGGGCCTTCACTCTGGCCAGAGCCGCCTTATTCCTTCGTTCCGGCCCTGCCGCCCTCCTGTAGCTCCCTCCATCCCCCGCACCCCCTACCTCATAGCAGGCATCCCACCTGGCCCTGGCTGCTCAGTGCCTGCGCGCGCACTGCCCAGAGGCCTGGAGTGGCTAGGGCTGGGCAGAACGCCTGTGTCCCGGCCTGGCCGCTGTTATCTTTGTCGCATCAATTTGCATATTCCCTCCTTATTGGCTGTGGGTGCTGCCATCTTTGTCGCAGAGTGATGGTCAATTTGCATATTCCGTCTTTATTAGATAGGATACTTTTAAATAAATAATTACAAATGTTAATACTTTTCATTTTTAAGGAGAACCTACGTTCTTTCACAAAAGATGCTAATACTTTAATTTATAAAGACCTCCCATTTGAAACTCTGGAAGTTGATGCAAAAGTGGCATTAGAAATATTTCAATACAACAGGTAAGTGTTGGCTTCCTTTAAAGCAAAATTAAACCTCCCAAAGTTATATGTAATGAAGAAAATTCAGTTCTTAAGAATTTTTATATTCTTGCCTTGGCCAGTGTGGTTCAACAGTTAGAATATTGGCCTGTGTACTGAAGGGTCGATGGTTCGATTCCTAGTCAAGTCCCAGCCCCTATGTGGAAGGTGACAGTGGAAGGCAACCAAATGATATGTCTCTCTCACATTGATATTTCTCTCTCCCCTCTCCCCTGTCCCCCTTGAAAATAAATGAAAAAATATCCTCGGATGAGGATTGGAAAAAAATTTTTTTTTTTATATTCTCAAAAGCTGAATATAAAAATTCAGGAAAAAAGTCTAAAAGCAAATTTTGTTGGAAAAAAATAAAAAAATTGAGCTTATAATAGTCACGAAAGCCTCCTTGGCATTTTTCAGAATGATATGCCACAGGAGTATTCTTTCATAAGACATTAATTGCTGAAAAACATATACTGAATTCAGAGAACAGTGGCATAAAAAATTTACTGTAAATCCTCCCAAAGTGGTTATAGAAAACAATAATTTTCAAATGTATTAATCTGTGGAACTCTTTCTAAAGCATTTTCTAGCATATTCTGGAACCAGTGTATTTAGAAACCAGTACTAATACACTATTTTAACTGAATGAGAGTAAAAATAGTACTACAGAACCAAACCACCATTGATTCTATAAGAAATTACTTGGATTATCAGAACATATCAGATCACCATGCCAAAATTCTAGGATCATGCTACCCAATAGAAATATAATGTGAGCTTCCCTAGTCGGTTTGGCTTAGTGGATAGAGCATCGGCCTGTGGACTGAAGGGTCCCAGGTTCTATTCCAGTCAAGGGCACACACATGCCTGGGTTGTGAACTCAATCCCCAGTTGGGGGCGTGCAGGAGGCAGCCAATCAATGATTCTCTCTCATCATTGATGTTTCTATATCTCTCTCCCTCTCCCTTCGTCTCTGAAATCAATAAAAAATATATATATTTAAAAAAAAATATAATGTGAGCTATCTTTAAATTTTCTAGAGACTACGTTAAAAAAAGGTGAAGTTAATTTTAATCATACATTTTATTTAAACTATATTTAAAATGTTATCATCTCCACATTAAAAATGGTAATGATATTTTATATTCTCCTTCTCATACTAAGTCTTCAGAATCTGGTGAATCTGAGGCACATTTCAGTTAGAACTGATTACATGTAAGTGTTCCATAGTTACCTTAGTGGACGGCACTGTTGGCTTTCATGCCACGTACATTAGGATTTGCCTTTCCCATACTCAGCTGCCAGTCTAGCAGAGGCGTGCAGGACTTTGGTAACTTAACTGAATGTGTGAGGGAGGGAGGGAGGGAGGAGATGGTTTTGGGGTAAGTTTGAGAGATCAGAAGAGTTTTGAATGGCTCGTGTGTCAGTGATCGGGCTTGGCTTTGGCTCCCAGGGGACAGGAGCCTCTCTTAGAGGTGGGTTGGGAGGCATAAGTATGCAAGGGAATTGGCTCCCTCAGTGATGCTTGGGACCCTGGCAGAAGGGGTGTGGCAGTAAGTGGACTGTAAACCATTCTAAATGTAAACCGTTCTCTCAAAAACTGGCTGAGGAGAAGGAGAAAGGGTTTCTTTAAACTCCTTTTTGTATTTTTAAAAAAATATATTTTTATTGATTTCAGAGAGGAAGTGGGAGGGAGAGAGAGAGAAACATAAATGATGAGAGAGAATCATTGATCACTGGGGGTCGATGTGCAACCCGGGCATGTGCCCTGACTGGGAATCAAACCCTTGATCTTCTGGTTCAACCACTGAGCCTCGCTTGCTGGGGTCCTTTTTGTATTTTTATAATTAAAATTTTTTTTTTGTTTTTGCTGCTTTTCAGGTATAAAGTAGATCTCATAGAAGAGAAAGCATCTCAGAATCCTGAGAGAATAGTTAAGCTGCACAGGTAAGTGAAAATAGAAAAATTGGCTGCTATGCTAATTTATAGTAAGGTTTAGCTTTATTGCTACCTGAATGTAGTATACAACTAAAAAAGATGAACTTGTGTTCTGTTTTGTTACTCTCATTACCTTATTTTATTGCTTTGTTCGTTGTTTAGATATAGTAGTAATTGGGAGTTTTAAATTATTTTCAGAAACAGTTGTGGTTTCTGTTCCTCATTTTATTTTTATTTCTGCATCTCAAGGGTTGAAAACCATTGCTAAAAATGTAATTTTTAAGAGATAATTTTGAAGTTGAGCAAAATATTTATAATTATGAATTGCACATGATAATCTGATTAATTAGTTACTATTTAAATATATATATAAGTAAGTTAAACTGGAATGTGCTTTCTGACTTGGGGATGAGAGAGGTAAGACAACGCATTATGCAAACTCATTTCATGGTCAGCGACTGTTTACTCAACCTCATGTTTTCTTGATTTGGACTTAACTTTTTCCTCTAGAAAACTCCTCTTTGTTTCTGTCCTATATACTGAATTCTAAACTCTGCTGCAGTGAATTGTAAGCATGTAGGCTGTCCGTTTTAGATATTGGATCCACTTAATAGCATGATGTGCTTAGTGATCTTAAAAATCTCTAGTTATATCAATGCTAATCTAGAAGAAGGTTCACTTAACTTTAAGTTTAGCCTCTTCACTTGAGATTTTTATGTCATGGCTATTGGAGACTGAATCGAGACATGTAGAATGCTCTTGGTTAGGAACGTAGCAGCAAAGAGAATGGATAGATTTCCCCCCCTACCCCCCAATGTTTTGTAAATCATTTGATTTTGAGGTTTTATTCGTTTATTTTTAAAATCAAATCAGATTTGGTGACTTCATTGATGTGACTGAAGGCCCTCTTATTCCAAGAACAAGTATTTGTTCCCAGTTTGAAGTGTCAGCGGTTCACAATCTGCAGGCCACTGGGTCAAGTCTTGTACGAAGATTCCAGGGTCTCTCTTTACCTGTTCACTTAAGAGTAAGTAAAGTGAAAGTTTCAGGTCATCCAATTTGGGTATGGGTGTAATTCTAGTCTTGATTTTTATACCAATATGAAGGACATAACATTTTAATTTCATTAAATTGTGTGATGATATTTTATAAACTCGAGTTTATGATTTAAAAACATAATTCGAAGGAGAAACATTAGTTGGAAAAATGAAACAAATTGAGATAGCATTTATAATTTTTCAATTTGGTATAGGAGAGGGTGCATGAGGAATATTGGAGTGCACACTGGTAAGATCTGGAATGCTTTTTGGCCTTATTTTGGCATGTTCTTCCTAATTTTGATGGTCTATTCATGACCCAAAGCCTATCATGTTCCATATTGCTCTAACCCTTGCTAATTCTTTTCTTATATTCCTTGGATATTTATAACATCATTCACTTAATATAATTGACTTAATTTAAATTTATGTGGCTATGAAAAAGCTCCTAGATTTATTGAATTTCGAGTCCCACCTGCGGTTGCCTTGGCAAGGCCAGACCAAATGATTTCTGGGCTAATTCACTTATTATAAATTTATGTTGCTATGAAAACGATTTATTGAATTTTGAGTCCCACCTGCAGTTGCCTTGGCAAGGCCAGACCAAATGATTTCTGGGGCCTTATATGGCCCGAGGGCTGGATGTTACCCACTCTTGTTGTAAGGTCTCTGCACCAGCTGTTCATTCTGCTTGAGTCAGGTGTGGTTTTCCCTTTAAACATACCAATGCTGGTCTTTTCCCCAGAAGGATTGACATGTACATAGTTAGTAATTTTACCTTTTATTGTAAGTTTTAGCAGCTCCTTCACTATGAAGTGGTCACTGGCCCACCCATGTCCCTCAGTAACGCCTTCAACTGACTTAATAAAATTGATGTGGTCATTATGCACTTTGACAGTTTTTATTAATGCTTAATAATTAATGATTAATCCTCTGCTACATACAATTGTTAAGGATTAAGGAAATTAGCTCTACCATTTTACTATTGTCTCTTATTTTTACTTGTTCTTGAAGGTGATTTGCTGAATCCTCTAGATTTCAATGTGAAGATGTCACAGTTGGTTCTTAAATGAACACCTTGTGCTTGATTATGATTTGAAAAATGACCTCTAGCATGTTGAAATTGGCTACTTAGGGAAAGAACCATAATCTATGGGCAAGTGGGGCAGATTTTTCTTCCCAGTATAAGGAATGCTTTCAGTGACGGTAGTGATTAAGAACAGCAGAGGAAGAATGGCATATTCAGGGCTTACGACTTTTTCTTAAATGCCAAACAAAGCAGCTGTTCTGTATGGTAGCTTTTCCCCTACTCTAATCCATGTTTATAAACATTTAGCCTCATTAGTACTGACTTTTTATGTGTTTATTTTGTTTAAAACCTGTATAAAAACTCAGTCCCCACCCTAGCTGGTTTGACTCAGTGGAAAGAGCGTCGGCCTGTGCTAAAGGGTCCTGGGTTCGATTCTGGTCAAGGGCACATGGGTTCTGGGTTGTGGGCTCAATCCCCAGTATGGGGCATGCAGGAGGCAGCTGATCAATGATTCTCTTTCATCATTGATGTTTCTATCTTTCTCTCTCTCTCCCTTTCTCCTTGAAATCAATATCCTATCTAATAAAAGAGAAACATGGTTCAAGGGCACCCTGGGTTGTGGGCTCGATCCCCAGTACGGGGCATGCAGGAGGCAGCTGATCAATGATTCTCTCTCATCATTGATGTTTCTTCT